TGGACTAATTTTGGTGTTGTTTGTTTCGTCTCTTTGAGATGTTTAGTTTGACTATAAGTTTGCTTAAATTAGAATTCAGATGATCCCAAATTTAATTTTGAAATTTTCCAACTTGAATAAGCCTCGAGATTCGTGCTCAATCAAAGCAAATTTTGATGACGTGTCCGTTGCCCCCCCCCCCCTATTTTTGGATGTTGATTCTTATGGTCCAAAAATGTATTCAAAATTCTAGCATTCTGCAAAATCAGAGCATTAATCGTAGCAAAAATGTCAAAAAAGGTTACTTCAAAAAATTTTTAACTTATCCTTTGAGTTTCAAAATTAGCAAAATTGAGTCCAGAACATCAAAAATTTATTCGCTTAACTCAAAAAGTTGTCCAAAATACCGTTTTGTAGACTACAAAAATATTCAAATCAAACTTTCCGGGATAATCATATAATTAATTATTTAATGAATTCATCTTAAACGAATTTATAGTAATTAATTTTAGTTAATATAATAAAATAATATCTATCATAATTACTGTTACGTATGTCTTGATTGACATTACCTTATATATATATATATACATAAATATTTATTGTAGAATTCGGCTAGCCTCAATGAGGCCAGATATTTTTTTAATTGAATTTTATTAAATAATTAATTGTACCTTTAATAGTAAAATACTATTTTTGGCTTAAAAATCCAAAAAAAAATTTTTAAAAAAAAATCTTAGGAAAAATCAAGAAATTTTTCTTGAAAGGAAACAATTAGTTTCTTGCACATTTATTTTATTTTTAAATGAATTGCACTTTATTTATTTTCTATTTTATTTTTTCAATAATAGGAAATTATTTAATTTTTGGGCATTAAAAAATTCCAAAAATTAATTAAAAAATTAGAAATTTGGTCCTCTAACCTCCTTTGAAAAACTATAAATATCCTCCTCAGGGCTAGGGAGAAGGCACCACCTCTGTTTAGTTAGTTCCAAAATTTCTCCTACAAAGTTAGGAGGAATCGGACTTGCAAAAATAAATATTTTTGGGCGGCGGCATTCAAGACCTGGTACTTTTACGTAGGCTCCAATTTACTCCCAATGGGGGAAAAATTGTCCGGCAAGAGTTTAAATACCGACAGCGGTGATTAAGGCCCGGTACTCTTACGTAGGCTCCAGTTCACTCCCATTAGGGGAAAACCTATCCGGGTAGATTTTAAATATCGGAGGAGGCAATCAAGGCCCGATACTTTTGTTAGGGGAAAAACTATTCGGCAAGAGTTTAAATACCGGATGCGGTGGCGATCAAGGCTCGATACTCTTACACAGGCTCCAATTCACTCATATTAGGGGAAAAACTATTCTAAATGAGTCTAAATACCGGCGGTAGAGGCAATCAAGACCCGGTACTCTTTTGTAGACTCCAGTTCCCTTCCATTGGGGGAAAAACTATCCGGTAAGAGTTTAAATACCGGTGGCAACGATCAAGGCTTGATACTCTTACAGAGGCTCCAATTCACTCACATTGCGGGAAAATTTTTTTGGCAAGAGTTTAAATACTAGAGGCAATAGCGATAAAGGCCCAATACATACTCTTATACAGGCTTCAGTTCACTCTTATTAGGGGAAAAACTATTCGGCAAGAGTTTAAATACTGACGACGAAGGTGATTAAGATCTGGTACTCTTACATAGGCTCCAGTTCACTTCCATTAGGGGAAAAATTATTAGGCAAGAGTTTAAATACTGATGGCAGCGATCAAGGCTCAGTACTCTTACGTAGGCTCTAGTTCACTCCCATTGGAGGAAAAACTATCCGGTAAGAGTTTAAATACCGGTGGCGGCGATCAAGGCTAGATACTCTTACGTAGGCTCCAGTTCACTTCCATTAGGGAAAAAACTTTCCGGCAAGTGTTTTAATATCGGAGGCGGTGATTAACGCCTGGTACTTTTACATAGGTTATAGTTCACTCCCATTGGGGAAAAAACTGTCTGGTAAGAGTTTAAATATAGATGGCAGCGATCAAGGCTCGGTACTCTTACGCAGGCTCTAGTTCACTCCCATTGGGGGAAAAATTATCCGACAAGAGTTTAAATACCTGAGGCGGTGGCAATCAATGTCCGGTACTCTTACGTAGGCTTCAGTTCACTCCTATTGGGGGAAAAACTATTCGGCAAGAGTTTAAAAACTGGCGGCGGAGGCGATCAAGATTCGATACTCTTACGTAGGCTCCATTTCACTCCCATTAGGGGAAAAACCATCCGACAAGAGTCTAAATATCGATGTAGAAGGCAATCAAGACCCGATACTCTTACGCAGGCTCCAATTCACTCCCATTGGGGGAAAGTTATCCGGCAAGAGTTTAAATAGCTGTGGAGGTGATCAAGGCCCGGTACTCTTACGTATGCTCCAGTTTACTCCCACTAGGGGAAAAACTATCCAGCAAGAATTTAAATATCGGAAGCTGCGATCATGACCTAGTGGTTGCAGTTTTCCCCTGTTGGGAGGTGAATGTCATCCTCCAGAGGTGAGCGCACCTTGAATAGTACACAAAGAGATGGTCCTAGCGCATTTAATACAAGGCGAGGTTTAAAGAACCAAGAGGATCTTCTAGGTATATTATTTTTCCCTTCTTCTCATTTTCTTATTCTCATCGTATTAATCCTTAAGCATTATTCATTCATTTATGCATGCACCTCCAGGCGATAGGTCACTAGATATGTTAGATGTTATTCCTTCTACCCATAAAGTGATTGAGCTGGAGTGAGCTCCTCGAACTATGGAGGTTAATGAGGGTAGGAGATCAACACTAATTGATGAAGTTAAGCTGTATGAAAGAGGTCAAGAGAATCCACCAAGGATGTATGACCTATTTGAGGTTATACGTCAGAGTGTTGCTCGATGATGTTAACCTAAGTGGAAGAGGTTAAGAAAATCCATCAAGGATATATGACCTATCAGAGGTTGTATGTCAAAGCGTTGCTCAATGATGTTAACCTACATGGAAGAGGTCGAGAAAATCTATCAAGGATGTATGACCTATCCGAAGTTGTATGTCACAGCGTTGCTCAATGACATTAACCTATGTGGAAGAGGATGAGAGAATCCACCGGGGATGTATGACCTATCCGAGATTGTATGTCAAAGCGTTGCTTGATGAAGTTAACCTATGTGGAAGAGGTTGAGAGAATCCATCAATGATGTATGACTTATCTGAGGTTGTATATTAGAGCGTTGCATGATGACATTAACCTATATGGAAGAGGTTGAGAGAATCCACCAATGATGAATGACCTATCTGAGGTTGTATGTCAGACCATTGCTCAATGATGTTAACTTATGTAAAAGAGGTTGAGAGAATCCACCAAAGATGTATGACCTATCCGAGATTGTATGCCAGAGTGTTGCTCGATGACGTTAACCTATGTGGAAGAGGTCATATCGAATCCCCCTGGGATCAATTTTACCTTGAATGGGAGGGGGTGAATGCCGCATGTATCTCGAGTCATAGATGAAGAATTATCTATCTTAGACTCTTACTACCTTTTTGAGGTCGAGATTAAGACCTTGCCAAAGGAGTAGAAGTATAGCTAGGGACTGTATAATTTATTGGAAGAGTCATACATGTTCTAGAAGCTTTATGATCCCAAAATATCATCTTGGATATTGGAAGATTTAGAGGAATCTTCTTGATCACGATTGTAGTCAAAGTTTCGCCCTAGTCCATATTTAATTTCCATAAAATTGAAGTGGCAATAGCTGTAGATAGGATGTTGAACCCTTTGTGGTTGGAGAAAAATTTGCCCCCCAGTCGGGAACTACGTTCCCATAGACGGTGCCAAACTGTTGCGGGCTGAAATATTCATGGCGGTAGAGTGAGTAAAATTTTTATCTTAGTGATGCATGTATATCCAGCACACAAACAGAAAGAGATAAGTAAAATACCAAATCTTTTTTACGTGGAAAGCCCGAAGAGGGAAAAACAAGGGGGCATCACCCATGTGAAAAGATTACACTAAACTTGAGTGAATTACAAGTGTTGACCCGCCCCTCAATTTAGAGGCGGTCGAATTACAGTAATTTGGAGAGCTAGTCAAAGGTCTGGCGACAGTTGTGAGGATGTCCAATGGCGATCGTCGGCCAGGCAAAGGTTCGGCGACGGGCGGCGATCGGGCCATGTTTCGATGAAGGTCGGGCTGAAGGTCCAGCGGCGAGCGGTGGCTGGGCAAAATTCTGGTGGCAGGCGGCGGCCGGGTAGTGGTCCGACGAAGGACTGGCTGAAATCTGGCGGCGTTCGTCGGCCAGGCGAAGGTTCGGCAACGGGCGGCGGCCGGGTGAAGTTCCAGCATCACGTAGCGGCTGAGCGAAGTTCCAGCAGAAGGTGACGGCTGAGCGGTGGTTCGACGAAGGTCGGGCAGAAGTCCGGCGACAGGGGCAGCCGGGTAGTGGTGCTAGAGCTCTTGAAGCTTCAGAGCTCTCTCCAATCTCCAGCTAAAGGTCCCCTTCTTATAGAGAGTTTGGGTATATTTCTAGATTTTTATGAGTGGCACACCCCGTAAATTTAGAGAAAATTCGGGGTTGGTTCAGAGTGCTCGATCAGATGGCTCGTATTGATTCCCCTGATCGTAGAGATTTTTTCAACTGTTTAAGTGTCTGAACGATGTCGGAATTAAGTGATCCTGGGCTCGTTGGATTCGTCTCACCAAGCCGCTTGATATGATTATAAGCATGCCATATTTAAATATCAATTTATTGTCTAAATAATACAATAACCCTTCCAAATGTGGTCCAGCCTCCGATTCGGACCCATTTGGGCTTGGGTTTGACCAATTTTGGTGTTGTTTGTTTCGTTTCTTTGAGATGTTCAGTTTGACTATAAGTTTGCTGAAATTGGAATTTAGATAATTCAAATTTAATTTTGAAATTTCCCAACTTGAATAAGCCTTGAGATTCGTGCTCGATCAAAGCAATTTTCGTGTTGACTCTGTATAAAAAAGGAGAGCAGAAATATTGCATACGTACCTAAATCCCGCAAATCTTGCCGAAGTTACACCGAGACACTGCGTAGCAGTGCCGTTTGTGTCTCATTCTCGGGTATCCTGCTCAAATCCTGCGATCCGTAGCTCCACTTGCATTGTTAATTACCTGACCAAATGAAGCTTTCAATAGCTCTTTCCTTCTCCACACGAACTGCTCACTCGCTGCTCTCAGCTTTCCCACGACAACTCTTTCTCTCCCCCACTCAATTCGCAAGCCCCACTCTCATCGATGACTTCACCTGTAGTCGAATCCCTCGACATCCAAGCCATGATCCCGTCGACCCTTGCTAAGCCTCTCGATCCTTCTCATTCCTAGAGAGAGAGAGAGAGAGAGAGAGAGAGAGAGAGAGAGAGATAGATAGAGAGAGAGAGAGAGAGAGAGAGAAAGAGAGAGTGAGAGACCTTCTTCCTCCATCCAACCGAGCATAGCCTCACAAAACTCCTGGTTGATTGAAGCTCTCGACCCACACCGGCGTGGCGCTCGCGATGACTTAAAAGTCCTTCTTCAATGCTAGCAACATGTAACATAATAGGGAGGGAAACTAGCATGGTTCTTGCGATGAGGGAAATTAAAAATAATATAATATAATATATATATAATAAGTACCCCTCGAATGATCATGTAGTACAGAGGGGGGAAATTTGTGCTCTTTTCAAATTATGCTCGGAACCCTTAAATGCTCACGTAGCGGGCGGGGATTTTTAAATAAAAAATGTAACTGCTGTGTCATTTTGACACCTACCTGAAGCTCTCAAATATCATCAAGGGAAAGGTTGCCTCTTAATTTTTCCCCTAAATGGGGGAGACGTTGGGAGGTTGCCAAAATTTGGATAAAAAATCCAAAGGCTTTGAACAATGTTGAATCTTATTTGGACACTAATTTGGACACTAATCCAGCATTAGATTCAAGTGGAGATTTAATTTGAGTCTATATTGAACTCAAACTGAAGCATCAATGAACCATGACTTGAATATAAAATCATACTTAAATCAAGCTTAAGCGGTTGATGTTGAACTGGACTTAGACTTGGATTTTCCTTGGGTTGCAAGGAGTTTTGCTTGAATGTAAATAAAAAGGTTTGAGCTTGGACTAAATAACATCATATGGGACTTGAACTTAAACAAATGACAGAAGACTTGAATTAAATCCAACTAAGAAGAATTTGATTTGAATCTGAATTCTAATAGAAAGTGATTTTCATTCAAACCATAAGAAACATGCCACAAGCCACTTTGGATCTCAAAATGATAAACGCAATTATGATTTACAAGATAGTGAATTCCTAATCAAATTAAAATGAATGAGTTTGGGATTTGCATTTTGAATAAGAAACTTCAAGCATAACTTGCTTACAAACAATTTTCACTCACAAGCAAATGCATCAATGCGTTGTGGAATGTCTGAAAGCCAAGGCATGATAAATGAGGGTAATTATCAAATGACATGTAAAGAATGCAGCATGTCTATGAGTAATGAGCTGTTGTATGATGTGTTTATTAGCAGGTCATGAAATTAGTGGTTGACAAAGAGTGAAGATGAAATCATAGACTTGTACAAGCAGGTACAGGAGATATGCACCAATTGTAATAACTTCACCACATCAATTTGTAGACATCGCAAAGAAGAAATTTTTGGCGAATGAGCTAATTTGTCAAAGGGATAATAAATTGAAATTGAAATGTGACACTCCTACAATCAAAGAATATTGATGTGTGGGTAAGCATATCAATCCCTTGCAAAGCAACTAGGAGAGACTTATTGGTGTTCTAGAACAGCAGTAAAATGCAAATGCAAATGCTTACAAGTGGTATCAAAAGATCTGCAACACATTCAAGCTCTCTACAAATACAGATGTATGTGTTATGCTACCAAATTCACAACACTCATACAAGTGTACAGAAGGCGCGTTCAAATTCTCAAACAAAATGTTATGTACATTAAAATGGAAGTTAATTGCAGAACTATAATTATTTCAAATTAATATTGCACATGCACCGTTCTTTGTATATACATAGGTACACAAAAGGGGAAAAATACAATCTCAATCCGCATGGGCCCGGGCGAACGTGTTATTGGTACACACATGACGTCTAGGGATGCTGTGCGGGTTAATAAGTGAATTCAAGTTCAAACTCGATCCCCCTATGCCGATCAATAGGAGTTGACAGGGTTCAAACCTTCAAACAAATACACGATTGTGGGGACCAGTGTATTTGTTTTAATACATTTATATTAGGCATTCAAGGTCTATGATCAAGAGAATTCACTAAAAAAGGCATAAAGCCTATGAAATCCGATCCTCCTAAGTAGGTAAATAGGAGTATACAGGGTTTGAACCATTGGATAGATATACGGTCATGAAGTTGACATTCATATTAGTTCTTCAGGGCCTTTAATGAAGGAAATTCACAAACAAAGGCATGAAGCCCGAGGAACCCGATCCTCTGTTGATAGTTCGATAGAGTTGACAAAGTTCATCCATAAGATACAAATATTTTCAAGTGAAAATGACCTCATGTACACCCTGATGATGGCCGTGTTGAATGCATATCTCAACCAGAGGGGTGATTCAAATAATTTCAAATGCCATTCAAATAACCAAAATCCCAAAAACCTAAAGATTTAAATATTTAAAATTGAAATCCAACCATAAAGCACATAAAGAAAAATCCATCAATCGTCCGCAACAGTTTGTTGGGGTGGACTTTAGCTCACATAGATTTAATGCCTAGTCGAAAAAATCACTAGAATCCATTCTCAAACAATCTCCTACCAGTAAGGACGTGGTACGTGTCCTCTAACCAGCGGTTTTGTCGCCAAATGGCATCGCAGGATAAATGATTATGACCCGGGGCCCTCTGAACCGATTGGTTTTGCTGCCAAATGGCACCATAAAATACAGGTTATGGCTGAAGCCAATACACACCTTAGTGGCATCAAATCTTTGAGATATGAATCAATAAGATATGATTAATAGGACACAAAGCCCTCTATTAACTAAGGTGGATTCAAATTTATCCCCTTAGACAAATATTCAACCAAGGTCTACAAGATATATTTGGATGAAGAAACCCATGACTGTCGACAAGGATCCTTATGTTAGGTTGGATTGACTACCTCCTCTAAGTAGACCAGGGATCACAATGGCCCGGGAAGATGGAACCATGGGATCTTGATCGGGTCCATCATCCATTCCCCCACCATCCGCTTTAAGTGCAAGATGATGAAATTTCAATTTTAAATATCAAATCTCCAAATCTTCCAATCCTCAAAATTCTCAAAATTTCATACCCATGCTGCTACTATATGCCAATAACACGTATTTATACGTATCTGATTGACGACTACCCTTAATCGAAAGTTCTCTCTCGTGATCGGAAGGGGAAATTAACTATAGGGGCTTGAGCCTATAGGAAACAAGAACTCAGATCATAAAGTCATCACAAAATGAGGGCAAAATCTCTAGATAGTGTCTTATCTACAAACCCATCTACCTTCCAAAATTTACCCTGGAACTTAAATCTGTTAAAACTCCCTCGCCAAAGAAAAAGCAACACAGTGCGAGCGAAGGCCGGGGCCGAATTTTTGGAGCCCACATTTTAATGACGTATCAATCGGTAAGCATTATTCATTTTATTCTTCTGTTGACTACCTGACAATACTATGCGGTCCAATTTTTTTGAGAACATAAATTCCCTATGATAATCATCAACTTTTCACACTATAGACTTTTCCTCTTTTTATGAATTTTTTTTTCACATTCCTCCTATCATGCACACTAATAACATTTTTCTCTAATAACTCAGTCTTAAATTTCATTATTAAGACTCCATTCCTACTTTCTATGTAGTTTATCAAGGACTGTCCAAAGTTACTTGCACCATTCTAGACCAGATCCTTCAACAAACTTTTGAATGCTCTCTTTCTCTCTTTTAAGGATATAATAGAAAGATGACTATTAAAGGTAGGTAGCAGAAAATTGGAATTTATCTTAACATTCACCTCTCCATTAGCAGCGAAGTGAGTTTCCTACATGAGTGATAGAAATCCCTCCTTTTACTAACTCTTTTACGGCAAACAAAATGAATTCTTCTTCCAACAACTTCTCTTTCTTATCTCTCCACCTCAAATGATGGTTCTTGTTCCGTCTTTGAGCATTGGTCATCGAAGAGATAGTAGCGGGCGGTGACCCAATCACAATGGGGCTAGGAACAAGTAGATCAGATTAGATCACACATTTCATCTTCTATGAAATGAGCTCAGATAAATTTATCCTTAAAGATATTGAAGGTTTAATAGCTATGTCCACAGATTTACCTATAGTGAATTCAAGGATAGGTTTCTTCTCTTTAATTTCTTAATATTTAGCAACAACAAACTGAGAATCCTTGACTAACATGACTAAGTTTTCCCAGCCAAATCAAAACTTAATGAGGCTTCCAGCTAGAAACATGGACTGGATGAGTGCAAGGTTTAGAATGTAAAAAAGGTTGAATATTAGCTTGCCAACCATTTCTAAATATAAATATTACGATGCATTAGTTTTTTGAACTCACTAGATTTAAATAAGACATTTAAATCTTGGGGAAGTTGAACTAAATCTACTAATGAATTCTCTTATAGGCATGTTGAAGGAAGTAGTTTTCTTGGTTGAAGTCTTGAAGAGATAAGTTCTGATTGAATGGACATTCTAAAAAACCAATCAAGGCTTCACAGGGAAATCTAGCCTCAATGTGTTACTCGTAACTCAAAAATGATTGAAATGGGAAATTGAGAATAACATGTTTAATTCAGGAAAGATTGGTATATAACAGGCCAAAAAATGAATGTTGATCACGTTCACTCAAGAATGAAATGAGTAAGGTTACTAATGAATGAAAAGGTAGTTTAAACCTTCTATGAAAGCAAGTATATTATCAATGAAAAATTTATTCACTACTAAAGATGAAGGGAGGAACCATCCCCATTGGAGTCACCGAAAACTTCTATCACGATGCAAACAAGGATTTGAAATAAGAATTTATTAGCGTGGATTGATTAAGGGTTAAACATTTATTTTTTGAAGTCAGAAGAAAAAAAGTAGAGAGTCATGATTATGGGGCACCCAAAAGTACTCTAACCTATATTTCAATTGTGTTTTGATAATTTAGAATGGAATTGAACTTATGTATGTGTTATTTAAATTATTAGATTAGAAGGATTATAATTGTAGAAGAAAGTGCAAAAATTATGCATCTAGATATATATCTGCCTACAGTTGACTGCCAACTAACCACTTAAGAACTTTTTAAAAAAATAATTTCAAGTCTAAATGGAATGAAATATAAGCAGGTTATTATTTATTTAAGAGAGTGAAGTGTTTGTAGTTTAAATTTTGAATTATGGTTTAAAGATGCTAGAGGTTAAAATGCACGTGATTAATATTAATTTTTCTCTAACTTAAAAAAATTTATATGCAAC